GTGAGGAACCACCGCACTAGCTGCGTCCCCCACCCCAGCAGAGGCCCGAGACGCGCCGTGGTCCCGCCACCCGTGTCCTCCACGGCGAGAAAAGCCGCTCCGCGCCTCCCTGGTCTGCTGGGGGGAAGCACCCCCCGCGCCGTCACAGGCGGCGACAGTGGGGGAGGCACCCCACACTAGCTGTGCTCCCCTCCCAGTTCGTAACTAGGGGTCCGACTTAAGTTGGGCTGACGTAACCCGGGGCCTGCCTGTAGTCACTTTTTCCATATCAGTCATGATCTAATAGACCCCTATCATATCCCCCTAGTCTCCTCTTTTCTACACTGAAAAGTCCAAGTCTTTTTAATCTCTCTTCATATGAGAGATTTAATTCTCTCTTCATTTAGATGCCACCAAAGTGGCACAAGACCCTGCAAAGAAAGATACAAAGCCATTGTTTCAATGACCAGCACACACCCTAATACACCTTTTGAGATCCATCTATCTCGCACGTCTCTCATACCACTTCCAGTGTACTAAGTGCCCTAAGCACAGCCGTGAGGGTGAAACCAAACAAACATTCACTACACTCTCAGATGAACTTGCACAGGAAAATGATAAAAGACAAAAGACATCACCTGTGGGTCAAGACATCATCACCTGTGGGTCAAGAGTTTTCACAAAACAATCACTCCGTAACTGACCTATCGGTCCCCATCCTCAAAGGGCACCTGCACAACACTGCCAAATACTTTCAAAAGACAACCCTGAGAGCTTAAATTCATAATTTGCTGAACACTAAAAATCATGGTCTTACTAAAGACACTGGATTTAGGGCTTATTACAACTATCCCACCCCATGTTAATTCGCAGCATGCCAGCAGAGACAGAGTGCAAATCAGCAGATTCATGGTGCTCCAAAAGTGCTGGGAGGGGAAGGAGAAGGAAATGTGGGGCTGCAGTGGCCCAGCGCACAAGAGGCACGTGGGGGGGAGCAGACAAGGGGTCCATGGGTTGCAGATGGGCCAAGCTAAGCACTTGGGTGGCCACTCAGGAGAGATTCAAAGGCCATCCAGCTGATTAGCAGAGTGCCCACAGCGAGGTGATAGAAATGTAGCCGTGTTAGTCTGGGGTAGCTGAATCAAAACACAGGACTATGTAGCACTTTAAAGACTAACAAGAAAGAGCATCTTGTTAGTCTTTAAAATGCTACACAGCGAGGTGTGTGTTTCTATTTGCACATGCCTCAGTCCACATAGAAAAAATTATTCCACAGACGGATAGAAAAGATTAGAGGAAACATTGCCATGAATGGTCTCCTTAAACACGTACTTACTAGTTACACTAAGCCATCTGATTGATCTTGGTTTTAGCTGGGACACTTGTCCTCACTTTGGGGGAGTTTATTCACACCCCTAAGTGATGTAAGTTATATGGCTGCCTTTTGGATCAGGACCCTCGATTTGAGAAAAGCTGGTCTCCCCCATTAAATGTATATAGTAGAGGGTAAAAGTGCACAAAAGACCAGATTCAGTCTCTCACACATTTTCCATGACCAT